CCATACATATACACCTATCCCCAACCATACCCCACATACTCCCCCACATACAATATACAAGAGTAAGACTTTATTTTTTGAACTATTATGCAGTCACCTCTATACACATGACACAAACACAAATCATGACAAAAAAATTTTTTTTTGTAATAATATAAAAATATGCTATAGTAGATGTTTGACTCTTAATGTATGATCTGTTCTTTTTCTGGTTCAAAGATAGCAACCCTCTCCCCACTCCCTCCAAGAAGCAGTACTTCCAGGGCAAGAGAGGGACTTCCCATTCCAAGATGGCGACCAAGGGCCAGGGCTACTCTTGACAGCTCCCCAAAACTTAAGTGGCCCTCCAGCCAAAATAATTGCTCACCCCTACATTAAAGGATGCATCCAAGATGCATAAAGAGGCACACTGTAACTCCATTCACATTCATTGGATTGAGAGTTTATTTTTTTAGAAAGCTTAGAAAAATGCTACCTATTAATAGAAGTTTTCCTTCACAAGCAGAAATGTTTGAATTCTGTGCATCTTTCTTATATGTGTAATTACATTGTGTGAGCTTCTGCTTTCCTTTTTTCCTTCTGCACAACATGCAAGTGCAGGAGTGACTGCAGCACAGTCTTAAGGTGCCCAAGATAGCTTTTAATGAGCAATCTAGACACAGAAGCTCCATAAGACTAATTTACCTTGCTTTTCAGGAAGGTTTCCCAGCCTGTGCCAAGAATTGTACTCTGGCTACTCTTTCCAGTACCCAAAGAAACTAATTTAGGGTGAAGACAGAAGTGACCATTTTTGCCCAATCTGGCCACAGAAAGTAGTTTCTAGCCATGAGCAAACACAAGTGCACAGCTGCAGATAGCTTAAAAATGGCTGATCTGGTGAAAATCTGACCCCTCATTGCATGTGGTATCAGATAGAAGAGCTGTGTTTGGAAATGTTTTTGTAATTTGCCTCTGTGAAGCTCCCAGCCTGTCACTGTTTTCAGAATGGAAGAGATTAAAGGGAGCAGAGGGAATTCAGTCTGGGGTTTTTTCAC